GGCCAGGCGAGCACTGGGCCCTGGGGATCCATCCCTTTTGTCAGGGTCTCACCTCCGGCAGCGGGCCCCTCCCGGCCCCCCCCCCCCCCCCCCCGCCTCTCATGTCGTGCTCTGACCCGTTCTCGTCTGGGACCTGCTCTCCTGGCCCGGAATATTTTATTCAGCCTTAGAGGATGGGAAAGATTTAAAATATCCTAATCATACCAATATGGAAAGTATGAGAAACACCTCCTGGATCAGGAAAAAAAACCAAAAAACCCTACATTTGAAGGTCAGCTCTATCAAAAAAACTTCAGAAAACCATGTCCAGAAAGGAGGTACCCATTCCTTTCTGACAATCTTTACATTGAGACATTTTATTGGTTAAAAATCTCCTCCTGTTCTGAAATCCAGAAGTTCATATCCAAATGTGTGAAACAACAGAAATTCTTTGTTGTTGGGACACTTGGAAAGTGAGCTTTAGAAGACAAGACCATTAGTTTGCTACTTTCTGCCTCTTTTAGCTTCTCCTGTGCATCAACAGATCCAGAAAAGGCGCTTTCTGGGGGGTGTTTCTCTCTCAGACCCATTGCTCTAGGCGAGCAGCACATCTACTGCACCCACTTGTAAGCACTTCATTAAGGCCATCTGCTGTGTTGCTGGCAATCACCTGCAGAATTTGGCCATATTCTGGATTTTTCATGGATAACCAGGAAAAACAGCCTGGTTGCAACCACCATATGAAAACTGCCTTCCCTGGGGAAGGAGAGGCAGAGGCCGGTGTCTGCATGGGAGACGGTGAGTGTGACTGCTCTGTGTAGGGCATCTACAAACTTTAATTTAAATATAGAGGAGTTTGGCCACTACGTTGAGTAGGGCCAGAAGTTCCCCCTATGTCCTCCCTGCACCAGAAGTGGTAGTGAAAAATTAGTTTTGGTCCTAAAACTGCAAATACCTGCTGAAGAGGAAAAGACTGTCTGTATCTAATAACCTATGTGTGGTAATTCTCTGAAAGGGAAGAAAGTCTCCTGTCTCCCACGCTGGATGAGTTACCAACGTTCAGCTAATCCCGTGTAAAGGCTTTGGGTGTAGTGGTGCCTCTCCCTCCATTGGCACTGACCAGTAGATGGACCTACCTGGACTTTGGGGAGGTGCAGGGGCAAGAAATCACAGCTAAAACCCAACAGAGCTCAGTTTGCCCAAGGATTCTAAAATGGGAATCTCCTCCTTTGATCCATCCAGCAGAACTCTCCTTTGCCCAGATGTTGGGGATATTTTATGATGGTACAAAACATCCCAGGGATTCCGGGGGGGAAGTGGGGCGTTGAGGATCGGGATGTTGTTTGTGACGTTGATGTATTCAGAGCATCTCAAACATCCTCTTCACAGCTCCGCTGTCCCAAAGCGAAACAGGGGCTCTTGTCACACAGAAGGCCCCTCGGGGAAAAGTGAAGGAGCTTGTCTTGTTCTCAGTCCGTGGGGCACCAACAGTGGAAGCAGCTGAGCAAAGAGCACCGCTGCTGTGTCTCCCTGTGTGAGCAGACAGGAGGAGAAGCCGGTGGAAAGGTTTTTGTCTGGGAGAAGAAGGTGATGCTGAAGATGACCCAGAGCTCAGCAGCGCGTGGCTCACGAGGGACCCGAGGGAGCCACTGCTGGGTTGTGTCGGTCGGCTGGCCCACGGGAGCCAGGGTGCAGCTCGGGGCCAGCCCAGGCGTGGCCGTGGGCGGGGGGACGCAGGGCAGGGATGCTGGCCCTCTTGCAGCCCCAGTGTCATCTGTGGCGCGGGGGCCTGTGGCAAATGCAGGACAGGACTCTGCTGACACCCGTGGGATGGGAGCCCGTGTCACCTGTGGGACACGAGCCTGGTGCCACTCATGGGACAGGAACCCATGTCACCTGTGGGACATAGGCCCAGTGTCACACATGGGACATGGGCCCTGCGTCACCTGTGGGATATGAGCCTGACGTCATCTGTGGGACGGGCCCCCGGTGTTACCCGCGGGACAGGAGCCTGGTGTCACCTGCGTGACAAGTGTGCCTTCGTACCTGTGGGATGTGGGCCCCGTGTCACCCGAGGGTCACGAGCGGCCTGCGGCCTGCGGGATGTCCCGCGTCCCCATGGGTCGTGGGCCGGTGCCACCTGCGGGGCAGTCGTGCCCCGCGGCCCACCGGAGAC